TGTTAAACTTCATGAGGTTTGCATTAGCCCATCTCTCAAGCCTGTCAAGGTCCTTCTGGTTGGCATCCCTTCCCTCCAGCATGTCAACTGCCCCACACAGCTTGGTGTCATCAGAGAACTTGCTGAGGGTGCACTCAATCCCACTGTCCATGTTGGTAACAAAGATGTTGAACAGTATCGGCCCCAGCACCAACCCCTGAGGGACACCAGTCGTCACTGCCCTCCACGTGGACAATGACTGACCGCAACTCTCTGTGTATGACCATCCAGCCAGTTCTTTACCCACCGAGTGCTCCACCCATCAGATCCATGTCTCTCCAATTTAGAGACAAGGATGTGGTGCGGGACAGTGTCAAATACTTTGCATAAGCCCAGGTAGATGATATCATTTGCTCTGCCCCTATCCACAAATTCAGTGGCCCCATCATAGAAGGCCACCAGATTCATCAGGCATGACTTGCCCCTGTTAAAGCCCTGATGGTTATCACCTCTTTGTTTTTCATTTCATGCTTTTTCCAGTCTTCAGGGACTTCCTTTGACTGCCACGATTTCCCAAAAATTATAGATAGTGGCTTAGCAACTACATCTACCTGTTCCTCAGGACCCATGGGCTTATGCACATTCAGGTTCCTTAGATGGTCTCAAACCTGATCCTCTTCTACTGTGGGTTTAGGGGTTTCATTCTCGTAGTCTCCACCTTTGCCCTTCTTGGTCTGGTCAGAATGGCTAGAGCACTTGAAGACTGAGGAAAATAAGTCACTGAGAACCTCAGCTTTTTCTATATCCAGGGTAGCCAGTTCTCCTGTTTCCTTTTGGAGAAGGCCCACATTATCCCTAGCCTTACTTTTACATGCAGCATACCTGTAGGAGCCCTTTTTGTTATCCTTAATGTCCCTGGCTAACCATAATTCCAACTGTGCCTTAGCTTCCCTGACTGTGTCTCTAGCTTCTCTTACAACTCTGTATTTCTTCCAGTCCATTTGTCCTCCGTTTTACCTCCTAAAGGCCTCCTTTTTTCCCCTGAGTTTCCTCAGCACTTCCTTATTCATCCATTGAGGCCTTATGGCATTTTTGTCTGATTTCCTCCATGTCTGGATGCATTGGTCCTGAGCTTGGAGTAGATGATCCTTGAATATCAGCCAGCAGTCTTGGGCCCCTCTGACTTCCAGGACTTCATCCCAAGAGACTCTGCCAAGAAGGTCTTCGAAGAAGCCAAAGTCTGCTCTCCTGAAGTGCAGGGCAGTGAGCTTGCTGTGTGCCTTCCTCACTGCCCTGAGGATCTCAAACTCCACCACCTTGTGGTCACTAGAGCCAAGGCTGCCTTGGAGCACCACATTTCCTACCAGCTCCTCCCTGTTGGTGAGCACAAGGTCCATCATTGCTCTTCTTCTTGTTGGTTCCTCTATCATCTATGTAAGGAAGATATTGTTGACACATTTGAGGAACCTCTGGGATTGCCTATGCACTGCCATGTTGCTCTTCCAACAGATATTGGAGTGAGTAAAATCCCCCACGAGGACCAGAGCTTCTGAGCTTGAGGGTATTGTCATCTGTCTGTAGAGGGCCTCATTCACACCCTCCTCCTGATCAGGTGGTCTGTAGCAGATCCCAACTATAACATCCCCTGTCCCAACTCTACCCTTAATCTTGACCAACAGATTCTTGACTCTTTCCTCATCTGTCCCCAGGCTGAGCTCCACACTCTCCAGTTGCTCATTGACATAGAGGGCTACTCCTCCTCCCCGTTTCCCCAGCCTGTCTTTCCTGAAGAGCCTAAAGCCTGCCATTCCAATGTTCCAGACATAGGAGCCATCCCACTATGTCTCCATGATGCCAACAATGTTATATCTACACAGGTACACACATATCTCTAGTTCTTCTTGTGTGTTCAGGTGGAGGAGTGAAGATAGGTTGCTCAAGTCCTTCAGTCTTCTCCTCAGAAAGGGATGATTCTTGGGAAGGAGAGGACACAGAAACAATTTTCCAGCCATGCTGGACATCGTGGTCAAATCTACCACCCTGTTCAATTAAGCTTTCACGCCCCATGGGATTAGCTGCTAGGAATTTGAAATTGCAGGGACAGTTACCATACTCCTCCACAAAGAAAAGATGCTGAACTGTCTTCCCAGAGGCCTTCTGTGCCACCACTGTGTAGGTCCCTTCCATAGGTTCAGAGGTGAGGTTGAAGAACAGCTGTATAAATCCCATCTTTAATTCTGCATTTGTCCACTGGTACAGACGGTTTTTCTTTGGGTCCTACAGATAATGTGATTACAAAGAGCTTGTGAGAACAATGGGAGTCTGCAATGAGGTCTAGCAAAAGCAGTGAGGGGAGATCTAGCCCTAGTGTTTCAGAAGGCTACAGGGCAGGAGTGGGGGGCACTAGCAGAGTTGTGTGGGGTGCCCACAGCTGAACAACAGAGGAGCTGTAACCTGGGCTCAGCTACATAGCTGCCACCATATGAGTTAAAGCTCTGTCACCTTGAACTAATGTAATGGACTGATTAATTTTTTTAAAAAGTAAACAAGAATCATCATGAGGCAACTGTTTATTCTGCCCAGGATGAGGTGCAATAGATGCAAACATGAACGAAATATTTGTACATACCTCAATATATACCAGTGGAAACTAGAAAAAGAAGAAAGAGGGCAGCATGTTAAGACAGTGCAAGCAACACAGTCAAATGACTAGGGCTGAGACCATGTCTCAAGGTAAAAGCCATTCATCCAATGGGATAAGGAAAAAAGTTCCTGGTATAGAACAACAGAGTATTTTGAAGACAACAACATCGAGGCAGGGAAGGAGATCAATCCTTTGTCTCAGGCAGAAAGGACTACTGAAGTTGCCAACTACTGATTCTGGATGATCTATACTAATAAGAGCAAGTGTACGCCATGGTAATGGCATATTTGCTCACTGTTTACACCACCACTGTTCATTTGCCATTTGTCAAACCTTTTCAAGAATGCAGAAGGCAGTCTTATGCAGAAATTTGACAACAGACCCTGTTAACAACATCTGAGATGAGCCAGAAATTTCACTGTTATTTCAGTGTACTGAAAGTTCTCCCCAAAATATAATTCTTTCCTCCCTTTCCTCACAATTGAGCTAAGGCCAAATATCAAGAAAAAGGAAGTATCATACTTACCACCTCATTCAAGGGATGGAAATCTTCATCCAGACAAACAATTCTGAACTGGACTGATGGAGAAAGGCAAACAGTGAGCTTCCACAGTGTGGTCACCAACCAGAAAACATCACTTACAAAAATAAACGGTATAACAGAGAACAAAGCTGTTCTAAAGAAATTCCATTCACTAGAAAGCTAACTCATGCTAGAAGGTTACCCACCTAAGATGGGTACATGAATAACAGGATATTAAGAGCAAATCCATAGCAGGATGAACATCTTAATGATCATGAACATCAGAATCTCACTAATTGGAACCAAAGTTAAATTTAAGTTGCCTTTGTCTACTTTGCAAGGACACATTTTTAAGCTGGAATTCACATGAGTCTTCTGATTTTGTTATAACCAGACTGACTTCCTAGGATGAATGCAAGCAACTTACTTCAGCATTTGGCTTCAAGCTTGTGTTGGCTGTGAATGGAGAGAGAATTCAGTACCTCTTTTAGGACATTCATTTCTATCCAGGCCAAATTTAGGAGATCAATGGCCCAGAAGAAATAAATTACTTACATAATTCTCTTTGTCTTCACTGAGCAAAATCAGCTGCCACTTTGAAAGCAATTTCATGACTTAGTCTGAATTTTTGTCCCATTCTCTATAGCCTTTCTCTGATTTTAATATAGACCCTAACTGCATGGACCACAACAACAGAGTCTCCAGTGACAGAGGGAGTGTTACAGGTGCCCTAGATATGTGCATGCATATTAAGGTTCCCCAAATTGTTCCTATATGGAGCATTAAAACATAAGCCTCAGCCATGAGGGTGCAGTCGTGACCCCCACTGAAAGCAACTGACATCTGGCCAGCATAATCCAACAGTTTAAGTACAAATTTTTGTCTCTAATTCAAGACTCCACCTCTTTCCCAATACCTGTCTGTCCAGGCCTGTAGATGGGTTTGTCTGTCTGGATGAAGACCAAGCTCTCAGAATTCTGGACCAGCACCGATTTGCGGCTCATGAACTGCAGTGTGGCCCCCTTCACCGTCACGGTGAGAAACGTGATTGGTGGCTGGTTGTTTGATTTGGGAAGCTGGAGAGTAAGAAGGCAACTATGTTATGAGCTATCTTTAAAGGCTTCCTGAACTGAACTGGTCTTCATGAAATAAGAGATCCAGCATAATCCTGATGGACTCAACACAGAGGGGAAGGGAGCTATAATCAGGAACAAAGGACTGATCTTTACTTGTTCTTTACTTGTCCTTCCTCCTGCTGTGCAGTGATTGTGCAAGTATTGTGCAGGAGAGGAACTCCCAGCTCTACCACCCAATTTTAAGAAATTCTTACTCCCCTGACCAAAACCGTTCCATCATTTTCCTTTTGACATTCACAAGAGGGATGGAATTATCCCTCTTCTCTTTCCAATAATGCCCCTAGTTCTTCTCTTTCCAAAAATATCCTTGGTCCCTGCAGAACATTCTCTTTTCCAAACCAGTCATGCCATACTTCTATATATCTCTTTCACAAGTGACAAAGTCAATCTTCAGCCTACATCTGACAAACCAAGACACTAATGTCAATCTTTTCCATGCCCTGAAGACCAATTCTTCAGTCTTCAAAGACATAATAAAGCATTTATTGTGTATTATTACTTATTATTATGCTTTTTATAAAACATCTGAGCCATATGACCAGCTTTCCTACTTGCCTACAAGTTGTTATAGTTCCTGGAGCTATCAACTACATTAAGCTACAAATTTCCTGCTTTGCTGTCTTTTTCAGATACAGGCAATCACAGCTCTATGTTCTTTAAGTAATTCAGTGTACTATATTCACCAGGCAAAAAGCATCTGAGGTCCAAAAGCTCTACCACAATTTGAAGGCACTCAAGTGACAAACTGTGGCTGTTGAAGGATGATGTTAAGAGTCATTTCACCAAATAGCCATCAGGAGTGTCAATACTAAAGCCACTTCTTTCTCCTGGCCTCCTCCTCCAGTCCTAGAGGGCTGGCTTTGCAGAATTCAGCATCTTACAATCAGGTAGCCTACTAAGGAGACCTCAGCAGCAAGAGGGTGTTGAGGATGGACATGAACATACCTTTATCCAAGACATAAGTGAATACCTATACAATATTACTCTGGTCATTACTTCTCAGTGCTTTTACAGTTTATCACTAGCACAAACAATCATTCCGCAAGGACGAGATACTCACAGAGAAAGGGATGCAGGTGAACACATCTTTCTCTGACACCACATCATTAATCAAGCTCCTGTTTTCCCCTTGGTATTCGAGCGTGGCTCTCAGCGTCACAGACTCATTCAGGTGGGTTAGCTGAACACAGACTTTCTCAGGAGAATCTGTGTGTATCAGAAAGGGCAGCAGCACCATATACTGCCTAGAACACGGGAGAAGGACCAGTCAGAGGAACAGGAACATGTAACAGGAGTCATATAGAAAGAACAAGTAAACCAATCTGATGACTGCAGCCTTCACTGTACAGGGAGAGAGGTGTATTTTCTAGGAGTGCAACAAGATTTCCAGCATGTCTGTAACAGCAGGGGAAAGCAGAAAGGCTGGTCGCAAATGTAAAATACCAGAGGGAATCCTCAATGCAAATATCTGGAAGGGATATGTTTTTCCATGTTCTTGCACAACAGTAGCACTTCTTCCTGGGACCCTGAATAACACCGGGGTGGAAGCCAATCGTCACCTTTTCTAGACACTATTAGTAGGATTCAGGAGCCACACAAGTGCTGGCACCCAGTGAATAAATGTCATTGACTACACCCTGCAAAGCGTCTGTAGCACTACTCTCATTCCTCGCACAGACCAAAAACTGCCACAGAGTGGTGCCAGATCTTAAACAAAAACGCAGGAGCAAATTTCATGTTTTCACAGAAGCAAGCCCCTCTGACTCAGCTCAACAAGGGCTCCCTGCTCAGCCCTACGGAGCCTCTCTCCCAGAGCAGCAACTCTCTCCCAGAGCAGCAACTTGCCAGTGATGTCCTGGTGCCCAGAACTGCATCTGGGAATCAATCTTGATCCGCCTAATCCCAACTGTGCTCCCTTTTTGGTGAGTGAGGACTAGCCTCAGGCAGCCATACCCAGAACAGCGAGCAGTTGGGAGAAGAGCCCTCAACACTTCAACAGTAAGATTAGGGCATTCCCTCTAGCAGTAGGAGAGGCTCTGGCACCTTTATGTCCATCAGTTGGTCTGCAGGGAATAAGCTCTGGCCCCTCAGACCCCAGCCCTGCTGCCTGTTTCCCCTGCATTTGATGGAAGCACTGTAGCACAGCCTTGCTTTGCAGGAGGAAAAGACATTGTCAAAAAGCCAAAGGAGAAAGTCTTTGGCATGTCAGGACCCCTCAAGGACTGCTCCTACCATACATACACACATACTCCCTTCACATACAGAGTAAAAGGGGGTGAAGAAGGGATGCAGCACAACATACTCTCACAGACCTTAATAGTCACAGTCTTACGATGCCACATAACCCTGGATGAGAAGAGAATTTTCATTCCATTGGCTGAGCTGAAAAATGTGAATTAAAAAATAAAGCCATTTCTGAGCTTGCCAGATGTGTTATTTGTTCCTTTTTTTCTCAGTACCAATAAAAAAACCCACTCCCAACTCCTGGGCATTTCAACCTGAGAGTAGGGTAGTCAACCCAAAATGAAACCTTTCACTGTCCTTTCAAAACAGTCTGTCTCTTAAGAACTCAATGTGCAAACAGTTATAAAAAAGTTGTCTTTCAAAAGAAACAGTTTTGCGCAGAAAATTTTGTTTAAATCTTGTTAATACACTGAAACAGCAGAAGGTCTGTTCTCACAGACCTTTCCCTCTTTTCCTTTTTCTTTCTTATTTTTTTCCCCCCAAAGTTTAATTGATATCTGTTTCACAGATTGTTTTGGATCACTCTGAAGCATGAGAGTTTCTATTTGCAGAAGACACTTTACCCAGCCCAGGTACCTTTATTCCTGAGTAGAAGAAAGCAGACAAAAGATAAGGTACAAAGCAACAGACACAGGAATACAACCCTAGTCTCCTGCCTGCCCAGAGACCCCTCTGCATAGCTTACGGCTCTGTGATGGGTGAGGTGTCTCCTGGAAAGAAGAAGAGGAGAAGGAGGAAGATGCTTGGTTTGATGGGCAGCCTGTTCTTCCCCATGGTACACAGCAGGACGTGGTGAGTCAAGCAGACACCCAGTGTGGTCCAACGCTGCTTTTACTCCCACTCTGCTCTCCCAGTCAACCCCTTTATACTCTTCTCTGCAAACAGTCCCAGGGCTGGGGGAGATAAGGGCTGGAGGCCAGGGCCGACCCGGAAACACCGAGAAACAGTAAGGAGGAGCTAGAACTAGCTGCTCTGAGTCCGGGCAGAAGGCCAGGTGCTGGGGGAGAGAGGGAGGGGAGTGTGCTTGACAGCCTGGAGTTGTCTCTCTTTTGGAGCAGGGCAGCAGGAAATGGAAGAGGAAAGGTGGTAGCTAAAGAAAAGAAGGGCTAACAGAAGAGGATAAGGGGAAAGCCTCTGGCAGGGCTCCCTGTATGGAGACAGGCAAGGCACTGGTCATTTAGGCTGCTGGAGGAGCAGGAGCTGTTTGATTTCCTTCAAACTGGGAGCAGAAGATTGAGCAAAGATTTGGCAAAACAAGAATGGGTGTACCTAACCCCCATTTAAAGGCAGGTTTTGTAAACAGGGAATGCTAACTGTAAAAACCTTCCCCCTCCACCCACACTGTTCCCTTGTGCTCTCCACTCCTGGTCTCATCAGGGCTAATGCCAGGAAAAGGGGCCACAGAGTGCCTGGACAATCGAGTCAACTAAGATAATCTGGCCTTCACCCTGACAGAAACAGGGACAGTGACATGATGGGAAGCTGCCAAAAGTTCAACCCATTAACAGCATGTAACACATTAACCAGTTCCACAGAGCCACAGCTACCCTCACATAGCAGAACAGATGTGGCCCTTTGTCTTAATTTCCCTGTACTTGTTCCAGGTCAAGTTATTGGTACATCTAGATCAAATTATTGCTGTTTGATGGAGTCTTCCTGGTTTCATTATGTGAAAATCCATGTAATGCACTGTGATGGGCAATGTAGTATCATAGAGGGAAACAGGGGGTTTTGTTCACTGTCTTTACTGTCTTTACCTTGGTCTGCAGCAGGAGGATCAATAGCTCTGGTAATTATTACCCTTGCAAGTGGCAATAGAGTATCTGTCTTACTTATAGTTCTAATGCAAACTCCAATGAATGGACATTTAAAATGTGACTTAAAGCATAATTTTCAGATTAAAAAGTGTGCAGGATAAAATGATTTTGTCTGTTCTTCCCTTTTTTTTACTATCATCATCAAACATTTGGTAAGCTCAGGAACTTTGGAACTAAGAAATCCAAGTGCAGTGCAATAACAAACCTTCATTACAGACCTCATTCTGCCCTGCAGTGACCTGCACAGGAAACAAGAGGATAGCAGTGCATGTCCAATTTCCTTGGGGATTGCACAAAAGACAGCCCAGATTTGTGCTCTTCCTTCTCCATGTGATGCCTAAAGGTTGCTTTGCCTGCCCAGAAGAAATAAAACCCATAAAGGTCTGCTTCACTCACAGAGAAGAGGATTTGTACATGGGGTGGTCAAAGCCTTTTTTGCATTGGTTTGAAGATGTCAGAAGTTGGACTGATGGAACAGAAATCCCACAGGAACAAGGTACAGAACTGTACATGACAGAGGAAGCTAGGTCTACCTTTTATTGGCAAGTTGCCAAACAGCTCATCCCACTTCCAAGCCAGCTCCTGATCATTAGGATCTTGGTAAAAAATGTGCTCTGTAGCCAAAAACTGGAGAGAAACGTTTTCAGTACATTGAGGGGGGAAAGTATTTAAATGTGTGAAAATCCTGGTAGGTCCCTCTTAACATGCACAGATATCAAACCGCCCTCAAACTTCTTGGCCTCCGTCCCATTCCCAATAGCAACTCAGGTCCAAGCAACCTAATTTGAAGGGTTTCTGCATCACCCATCAGCTCGTAGGAGGTGGCATGAGCAAGGCAATGACAACAAGCTTTCCCTCTCTCCCCTGTCATTTCCACTTGCTGTGAGTACAACTGAGAAGGTCAACAGGCTTTCTAGATCTTTTTGGCTAGATTTTAAGTGTTCAAGTCCTCAAGAAAACTCCTGCAAGGTGTTGGCCTATCCATGAGGAGAGTATTTTTTAATATTGTCTGCGAAGTTCTGCCATTTGGCAGAGCTCAAAGGGACAGGTATCCCAGTTGTACAAAACCAGTATTAAGTATCCTGTATCTGAACCAAGAATCCTGTTCCGTTCATCAATAGCATCACAGAAGTGCTGGTTGTAAGGGAGCTCTGGAAGTCATCTAGTCCATCCCTTAACTTCTAGCAGGACTGCTGCCAATCTTGTCAACCGTGACTTTGTCAAATCCAATATTGAAAACTTCCAAGGATGGAGAACCTCCTAATTCCCCAGTGATGTGTTCCATTGTTGTGCTAATCTCTGGTGAAGATGTTATTCCTCATGTCCAGTTTGAACTCCCAAAGCTGCAGTTGCAGCCATTGCCCCAATTTATATCATCTGCCCCATCAAGAAAAGTCACGTTCCAACATCCTGGGAACGGTCCTTCAAGTATTTGAAGGCAGTTATTTAACTACTACAACCTCCACCTGGTCAGGCTCAACAAGCCTTGCCTTCCTTGTCACTCTCTCTAGGTCATGTGCTCCACACTCCGACCAGTTTGACTGTCCTCCTTTGGACCACCTCCAGTTCATCCATCTTTCTCTTGGACTGGGGGTCAGCAGACCAGACAGAATTCAAGTGCAGCCTCAGAGATGCCATGAAGAATAAGGACTGTAACTTACCTCAATCTGCTAGCCATTCTCCCCCAGTATTAGTTTATCACTGCTTACAGAGTTCATCCAAAAAGAAAACCAATATGTATCAATCGGCTATATCAACATGCTCTAGACAGAAGATTAAAAACTCTGCCAAAGATATTTGCTCAACTGCTTTTCATGGAAATTAATACATTTGCTTCAAATCCCTTTAGTGTTGTAAAATCTTGAATCTAGAGAGTGACATGTGCTTCATTGAAAGTAAAATCCACAGCTGAAAGTCCTTTCCCTTCAAAGAATGGTCAATTTTTGAGGCAATCTAATTGTATTTATTTAGTTGACATTCCCTGAGCATCTCTTTAGGATGAGATTAAGAGGCCAAGTTTGAAGAGCTAAATATTAAAATATTAATGTATCAAAATAAAAATAATAATTATTATTGTTGCTGCTGTTATTGTTGTTGTTGTTATTAAATAAATTGTAATATGCCCTGCACTGTAAAATCCTAGGGGAGGCGAAGCTGTTGCACTATTCATAAGGTTAAGCAGGACAGCTCAGAGACACATTCACTTCACCTACACGTCATGATATTATGAGAAGCCATTTCTTCTCTGGGATACCCTAGTAAAGTAACTATTAGGTTTCCTTCTGTAGATGCTACCACCCTTTTGACAAAGCAGGCTAAGTATCCCTCCAGCATTATATCACAGGGTCTGGCAACTTTCTAGGAGTCAAGGATAGCTATCTTTTGATAGCTGAATGGACTCTGGCACAGGTAAAATGACTCACTCAAAGTAACCAAGACAATCCAAGATGAAAACTCCTAGTTTTCACCTCCTAGTGAAAACTGCAGTTTTCCCAGGTCTGACTGTTGCAGGCATGGTTATTGAGAAGCAGACCCACCCTTCCTGGAAACATTCCCACCTTTAGACCTTCAGCTCAGTGCACTCTGTATGAGGCTCAGCAGACATCCACTTAGCTGAATATGCAGGGATCTGCATTTTTCTCTTTATCTGCCCTGACACCTTCATGTGTTACATCCTGTTAAACAGCTGAAAGATAATACCACTGGTAGCTGGTAAGGGTTTTCTGCAATTAGAATAAAAATACAAAGCAAATGTATACTGTATGTAGTCCAAATCTATATGCTAAATTTGATTGTTGCAATTCTATGATTCTATGAATATGATCTCCCTTCAGCCTTCTCTGCTTTAGAATAAACCAACCGAACTACCTTAGACTCTCCTGACAAGAGAGATGCTCTAGTCCTTTCATCACCTTTGTGGCCTTTCATTGGACTCTCCAGTATGTTCATGTCTCTCTTGTACTGAGGAGCTCAGAACTGGACACAATGCTCCTAGTGTGGCCTCCCCAGTGTGGAGTAGAGGGGAATGATCACCTTCATCAACCCTTTGGCATGCAGCCCAGGATATTGTCTTCTCTGCAGCACAGGCACACTGTTGGTCATGCTCAACTTGGTATTCATCAAGATCCTGAGGTCCTTTTCTGCAAAGCTTCTTTCCAGCTGGGTCACCCTCAGCATGCACAGTTGGACGAGGTTGTTCTGACCCAGCTGACATTCTCCTTGTTGGTCTTCATGAGGTTCCTGTCAGCCCATTTCTCCAGACTGTTTCTCCCAGACCAAACCCACACCTCAGACCATCTACCACGAACCTGCTGCTTGCAAGGCTTGCAACTTGCTATTTGGGCAATCCCCATGGAAACATTTCTGTGCACCATGTCATATACACATGGTGAGGTGAATGTACAGAGCAGGCCACAGTTGCTGTGTGCACTTCAGCAACTGTTCATACAGGCTCAGCAGCCTCAACGTCAGTCAAATGCTCAGACTGGGTAACAGTAGACTTTTTGCTTCAGGACCACCCACCATCATGCAGTCCTGCCAGAGTTACTGCTCTGACTGCAATTCCAGACCATGAATAGCTTGATAATAGTAAATTCAAACACAATATAAAAATATTAGGATAAATTGAAGATTAATAACATTTCTCTTCCTTTGTTGGAACAAAATCTCTGTGTGAAAAATAGCTTTCCAGCTGTGTAGAAATGAAACTTACTGCTTCACCTTTAACATTCTCTACGTTTTTACGCTGTTCACACTCTGAGCCTGTTTCTGCTCTATTTGAACTGAAAGTTTCTTGTAGTAAGTATTTGTCCACTACTTCCTCTCTCTGCAGTATGAAAATGCAGAGATGGAGAGGAAAACATGTTCTTGATTGATTCAATAATTACACACAATTAACTGTATTCCTTTGACTCCAGAAGTCCAACCACTTGGAATCATAGAGTCAAGGTTGGAGGAGACCTCTAAGATCATCAAGCCCAACTGTTAGCCTGCTGCTCTGCTGTAACCCCTAACCCTAAACCATAACCTCCAGTGCCAGATCCAGATGCCTCTTAAACACTTCTAGTGGTGGTGACTCCACCATCTCCCTGGATAACCTATTCCAGTGCCTGACCACCCTAACAGGGAAAAAACTTTTCCTAACATCTAATCTGAAGTTTATGACCATTCCCTCTAGTCCTCTCACTGCAGGCATGGCACAAAAGACCATCCCCCACCTCTCTCCACCCTCTTTCAGGTAGTTGTAGAGAGCAATGAGGTCACCTGCACACAATATTGGCTCATATTGAGCTGGCTGTCCACCAGCGCTCCCAAGTTCCTTTCTCATGAACAACACTCAAGCCACTCTTCCTCTAGCCTGTAGCACTGCATGGAGTTGTTGTGTCCCAAGTGCAGGACTCAGCGCTTTGCCTTATTGAACCTCATGCAGTTGTTCTCAGCTCACCAATCAAGTCGGTCAAGGTCTCTCTGCAGAGCTTTCCTACCCTCAGGCAGATTGACACTCCCACCCAACTTAGTATTGTCTGTAAATTTACTGAGGATGCTCTCAATCTCCATGTCCAGATCATCAGTGAAGATGTTAAATAGGACTGGCCCCAATACTGAGACCTGGGGAACACCACTAGTGACCAGCTGCCACTTGGATTTAGCTCCAGTAATCACAACTCTCTGGGCTCAGCTACCCAGCCAGTTTTTTACCCATCAGAGGGTTCACCCATCCAAGCCACAAGCAGCCAGTTTTTCTAGAAGTAAGCTGTGGGAGACAGTGTCAAATGCCTTACTGAAATTCAGATAAACCTCATCCATAGCCTTGCCTTTATCCACTTTGGCATACAAGGAGATCAGGTTGGTCAAGTAGGACTTCCTTTCATAAATCCATGTTGGTTGGACTTGATCCCCTGGTTGCCCTGCATGTGTCATGTGATGGCACTCAGGATGATCTCCTCCATGACCTTGCCCAGAACTGAGGTTAGGCTTGCAGGCTGTGGTTCACCAGATCCTCCTTCCAACCTTTCTTACAGATGGGTGTCACATTTGCTAATTTCCAGTCAGCTGGAACTTCTCCAGTTATCCAGCACTGCTGGTAGATGATTATAAGTGTTTTAGCAAGTTCTTTTCACAGTTCTCTCATTATCATGGGGTGGATCTCATCAGGGTCCATGGACTTGTGAGTGACCAGTTAGCATAGCAAGTCATTAACCATCTCCTCCTGTTTTACAGGGGCTTCTCTCATCTCCCCATCACCAACTTCCAGCTCTAGGAACTGGGTATTCTGAGGATTGCCAGTCTTGACATTAAAGACAGAAGCAAAGAAGACATTGAGTACCTCTGCCTTATCCTCATCCCCTGTCACTACGCTACCCACGGCATTTATCAGCTGATGGACACCTCCTTGACCCTCCTTTTGCTCCCAATGTATTTATAAAAACCTTTTTTGTTGTCCTTGACTTTAACAGCCAAATCAAGTTCCAGCTGGGCTTTGGCCCTCCTAATTTTCTCCCTGCATGACCTCTTGGGATGTTTATAGCCTTCCCAACTTTCCTTTGGGAACAATTGTCTCTTTTTTCCCCAAGCTTCAGCCTAAGTTCTCTGTTTGATCAAGCTGTTTAACTTGACATTTGGCCTATAAAACATGGCATGCAGCTAGTTCCTTACAACAGACAGAAGTAATGACACAGGTACACACTTTTGGTCTGGTGCAGTAATGGAGGTTTATTTTCACTGCTAGACTTACAAGTGTTGCAGTTTCATTTCACCCTCTTCTCACCCACTCATAGCACTGGGATGCAAAAGGAGAGGATGTCATTGGAAAAAATGTGTTTATATGTTTCTGCCAGTGAACAGCAGGCTTCATTTTCCTCATCCATCTGATACCAGACAATGGACATGCAGGGAATGGAAATGAAATCTGATGTTCAGAAGTGAAGGAAAATGGCTAGTTTGCCTTCAGAGATCTGAGGACAGCTGCTGTGACAAAGATTTTGTTCGCCCTTATAGGACAAATAGGGGAAAGACTAGGCCGGGGAGTATGTCCTAGGTCTCATCTGGTCATCAACAGCAGTAATCCAACAGATATGGACTGAGAATAGCTCTACTACTGAGAATAACTCACCCTTACGTGCAACAAACCTGTCCCTGTAAAATATCTTTGTGAGGGTATGGAAAAGACAAGTCATTGGTCTTGTGTGAAGCTTTGGTTTGGAGGACAATAATCAACTTGTACTGATAACAAGAATCGAATAGTTAATAGTCAAAGCAAAGAGTAGGATAGGGGATAGTCAGGTAGAGAGCACCTGAATAAACAAGAAGAGAAAGGTTGATTAATAAGGAATTGTCTTAGTTTATTAAGCATGAAAAGGGTAGAACTTAGGGCATTATTTTAGCTTAAGTAGCGTAAAACAAGGAAGAAAAACTAGATGCAGCTGGACTCATGACCTAGCAGTATGTGCCAAACTCAAAGGTCAAGCTGATGAAGACCATTGGCCTTCCTCCCGACGACCCCCAGACGACCACCAGAGACCATGGGACTAATGCGAAGTGGGAGGAGATGAAGGAGGAGATAATGATAATGATTTCCAAGAACTAATTGTAATAATGACCACCTATTCCTGAAAATAATGAATATGCATGAGTTCTTTAATGTATATAAACTGTGAAGTTTTTGTCTCTGGTTGCGCAAGTTTGGTGGAGCGATCCCCCTTGTGCCCAGCGCTGAATAAACAAATACCTGCTACCTCTGAGATACAAGTCTGGGGGTAGTTCTTTTTCAGCCTTTTCTTGGCATCAGTACCACTGATGAGATGACTATGAAATGAAAATGCATGTGGGATTTATTGAAGAGATTTCTCACAGATCCACGGAGCAGGAACTTCACAACTGGAGGCCCAAAATTGACCTTTCATCAGGACAGCACAGTGTTGCACAGGGCTATTAGACCAGATCCTGCAAGAGACATGGAAGAGAAGAGAGACTGAGAGAAAATCCTGGAAGTAAGAAAGAAAAAAGCATGAGATTTTGAAAGGCATAGCCCAGAGAAAGTGAAACCTTCAAAAGGCAGCTATTAGAAAATAAAATGTACACCGAAGAACCTATCTACCTGCCACAATCAAGTTATTTTGCCATTGCAGAACCCAAATTAGAACCAAACATAGACATGATGCCCTGCAGTGGCAATGATATCCACCAGAGAATGGCAGTGCTGAAAGTTTCATGGAAAGATGATCACCTCCAAGGAGTTGTAAACTGTAAGAATAGAAAGCTGGATTTAAGCAGGGAACTAAGCAAAGTGCTTAGAGTAATGACCTATTGACAATGAGATCTTGGGCAAGTTTCCTTGCTGGAGAGGCATTAGAAACTAACTCATTGTCTTAACTGCCAGAAAAAGGAAAGGGCCAGGCAAAGTCACTAGACCAAATCATAATGTTTTCCCTCATGAAAAATGCTAAGTTTTGGTCAAGTAAAGACTGAGATAAAATTAAGATTCTGACTTTGGCTGGCACCAGTGGAGCAGCAAAGGGCTGGGTCCTTGCACCCGGTGACAGCAGCACTTGACAAAACGAGTGCAAGGTGGCTCAACCCAGTAAAGCCATATGCCTTTCTGACTGAGCATCTATGTAGGTGGTGCAGGTAAATAAAATCCTTGGTCTGAGCAGCTGGAGGGAAGAAGAGAGTTAGATACTAACACAAGCCCTGCTTTTCATAGGTACATGCCTTTACAAGGTGCAAGGCAGTAAAAAGTAGACCCTGTTGAGCTTAGTGCAGTGTGACAGGAAGAAGAAAATCTGCCCAGGAAGAAAGCTCCTGAAATCTGTAGTAGGAACTATGGGTGTTGTGGAGCACCAGGCAATCTGAATTAGCGCTGTTGTTTTTAAAACAGAGTTAAACTCACGTGGTGTCATTGACTATAGAGCCATCTTCCCAAATCCATCCAGAGCTTGCGCTGTTCCTCAGTCCAATCCAGAAATTTTCCACTTGAATCCTCTTGAACAGGTCCTAGAAACGATGAATTACAAAGTGACTAATGAAAGCCAGCCTGAAAATGGAGGTAAGGATATGTAAAGAAAACAGAAAGCAAGATACATCCCCTCGCCTGACTGTTCTGTAAGTAGCTGTCAATACTGCTTCTCCACACCCTCTAATCAGGAAGATCAGGCCTGGAAATCATGCCTGGAATAAAAACAATGTGTATGCTCACAAGGAAGTAAGTGTGCTTTCAAGGTCCTGGGGAGGTTCTGTTTCTCAGGGCAATGTATGTGACCCAAGTGCACCCCAGGCTCCTGGAGTTTCCTACACAGAGCTTTATGTAGGAAAGTATGCTATTGGTATTAATATTAACACTCTACCATGTGGCTAGAAAGCTAATATAAAGTATTAACAAATAAAGGTAAAATCAGGTCGAGGAGGAAGTACAGATACATACATACTACATATGTACATACATACTGACAGAAACATGTAATAAACCCAGGGTCAAAGCTCTTGAAATCTTATACAGGCTTTCCTCCTACATGTTTTCAATATTCATTTCCTTTTGGCTAACCTTTAACTCCTGTTTATCATTAAAAGGTGAAGTCTGCAACAGAATCATACAGCCATCAAGGCTGGAAGAGACTTTTAAGATCAGCAAGTCTGACCATTAATCTGTCACTCCTCATGTAATAAACCCAGGGTCAAAGCTCTTGAAATCTTATACAGGCTTTCCTCCTACATGTTTTCAATATTCATTTCCTTTTGGCTAACCTTTAACTCCTGTTTATCATTAAAAGGTGAAGTCTGCAACAGAATCATACAGCCATCAAGGCTGGAAGAGACTTTTAAGATCAGCAAGTCTGACCATTAATCTGTCACTCCTCTGTAGCCCCTAAATCTTCCAGTGCAGTGCCAGAGCCAGGCACCTCTTAAACACTTCTAGGGATGGTGACTCCATCACCTCCCTGGGCAATCTGGTGCAGTGCCTGACCACCCTAACAGGGAAATAATTTCTCCTAACATCCAATCTGAATCTCCCTTGTCTCAGCTTGTGATAATTCCCTCTAGTCCTCTCACTGCAGGCATGGTAGAAGAGATCATCCCTCACCTCTCTACAACCTCCTCTCAGGTAGTTCTAGAAAGCAATGAGGCCAACCCTGACTCAGCCCTGAAGTAAATCTGCTGCAAGCCCCACCCCCCGAAAAAAAGAAGACAAAGTCAAGAGAGATAATTTTGTCATGTCCACATTTGCACTGAAATAAAACAACAGCAACCTTTCAGCGGTGTGGCTAGGCTCCTTCCTTATCGCCTATTGCCATGAACAAAGCTTCAGAGCAGACATCCTCACAGAGAAGCATTCACAGAGCTGGCTTGGTAAAGTCATGGGAATAGGAGCAGCTTGATGAATGCTTGAGTGTTGCTGGTGGTTTGGAGGTGACTGGGCTTCCCTGGCACAGGGAGATTGAACAGTCACAGCCTTTGCAGCATAAGGCATGGATAGCTAGGAAAGTCTTGGTTACATGACAAAGTCTGAGCAGGGATAATGGGTAATGCACTAGTAGCAGAGACAGCAGTAAGAAAGCAGCCAGAGCAGGAAGGCTTTCTTCATGCAGAGAAATGGGGAAGCTGGCTATTCCCCATGGAGCTGGAATTTGCTTAAACAAGGGTGAGAGCCTGGTACATACTCCCAGTTGAGCAAAGACCTGGCTTTGTAAGCCCCCACAGAATATCATACAATGCAACTTCTGTCCAGGGACTGGACACTGTCCACGTTCATTGGACCTGAGCTAATAAGCCCTGGCTTATGCAAAACCAAAAAAAGTGCTTCTGCTCTACTTAAGCAGATGTGCTTCAGCATCCCAGTAATCAGCAGTGCCCATTTCCTTAGTGACCACACATGCCCCTGCCACCAGGGAGCACCTGCAGTGGAACTCATGGTTCCTGGTTTCACCAGCACAGCTGAGGTATTTTGGCAGAGAGAGGAAGTAAGCACTGAAAGCAGACTGAGAAAGAAATATCCGTGCATTAATACAGGGAGTGGCATGGGTCATTGAGCAGGAAGAGCTACAGCAGCTGCAGGGAGGAGAAGCATCACTTTTGCAAAGGAAACATTTCTGAAGACTGGGGACATACTGGATTGCAGGCAATGAGTGCAGTGATTGCACAGCCATCTCTTGTAATCATATCAGCCTTATTGGGGATAGGAGGGGAGGTGGAGAGGAGCAGTGGAGAAGGCTGTCTCCTAACATCCTTCATAGGAGGATCCTGAATATCTGACAGTGACCCTCACTTCTTCCCTTTGTTTCTCTGCTTCTTGGGAACTTCTAAGGTGTATACTGAAACAGGAAGTGCAGTGTAACATCACAGTCATAAATCCCTCCTCTCCTTTAAAGCCAAAATATTGCTGGATGTCAGTCACTTAGGTATATGCAAGGAAATGGGAGATCCTCAAAGACTAAGAAAACCATTACCTTTTCCAAGGTATCACTGATCACCAGGAGATGAGCTCCCTGTGCCCTGCAGGATTCCCGGCTGGAATTCCAGTCCTTCTTCTCCTTGGAGAAGGAGTAGCAGCTCCCTCTGTAGGTCACCCACAGTTCAGGGCAGTGTGGGTGGGAATCACCTGTAAAGGAGCCCAAATAATAATTTTTCTCTACCATTAACCAACGGAAAGACACTTGCCAGTAAGGACCTAGTGAAAAGCAACTCTTCTGAATAGTTGCAGTGCAGAAAACAAGTCAGGATGAGCTTCTGAAAATAATGCATGAACACGGATCCTCTGTGCAATTTCCAAATCTTCTTACAATAGTCACATGCTTTCTGATGCTGGTGCAAACACACCCACACACACCCATCCACACCCACCCACTCACGTTTCCACTAAACGACTCACATACCATATAACTAAAATTGGCTTTCTGAAAGCAGATGATATTCTATGGGTATAGTGTGACCATGTCACACATCAGGATTTTAACCAGCACACAGTAGGCTCTTCCACATAGTCTAGAACCTTCTGTGTGCGTGCAAAATTGTTACAGACCTTACATATTGGTTTCTACAGTTTATCACTACAATTACAGTGGGCAGGTCTACAAAAACGCTACAATATGTTGCACTGTTCTTTGAACAGCACCTGAAATGGGCTGCCTGGGGTCTGCACAAGGAATATATTCTTCAAAATATTCTGGATAGGCAGCGGGTACATAAGGCTGGTAGAAACCTAGAATAGCTTCTGGTTTAACCCCATATAACGGAACTGTGCTTAGATGAGTCTCCAGTCCTTTGCTGTTGGTTGCTCATTCTAAACAACACTTTGTGCACTTACTCATCTTCCAAACCAAAGTAATCACTAGGGAGATGCCCACTATCCCAAAGACTGTAGCCAAGCCTGGCAAAACTGCTGACCGTGGACAGGAAACTGTAAAAGAGAAAAGAAACCATAGTGAACAGGAGCTACATGAAAACTGACAGTGGTTTTACATAGTTTGCTTGTGTTCTGAGCTATTTAGAGCATCCCTGTCTGTCTAGATTCTGCACATTGCTATCATCACAATCCCTGCCCAGCTTCCCTGGGGCCTCCCCATGCTCCTGCCCACCAGCCCAGGGTCCCATTTCAGCTGGGCCATCAGTCCTTGCCTGAGCTTTCCATGAGGTACCTGTCTACTGGTAAGCCACAGCTCTGACCTTGAGTGGCCACAGAGCCAGCTGGTCCAGCCCCTGTGGTGGCTGACCCCAGGAAGGGAAGCACCTGCTACAAGTCAGCTGGAGACTGCCAGGCACCATCTGGCACCTTGTGCTGGCAGAAGTCTCCCAACAAACGTGCTCCTGCCTGAGCATTGAAGCTCAGGGTGGAAACAGAGCTGCATTGCCACAGCCACCATTTTGCAGCTTAAATGCAAACAGAAACCTCAGCCTTTCCCCCAGCTCTCTCATCAATAGCAATGTTTAACCTAAGCATCCTGTTCACAGGCTGAGACACATGGTCATGTTACATCTTCTCACCATACCCCCTAGTCAGTTCTATGTTCTCATCTGCCTCTTCCATGGCAGGGTAGCAGGAGGCGAGGGCCAGCTTTGAAGACCTTGGGATGTTTGTCGCACCATATTTTCACCATCACCATCTGCTGTTCACTCGCTGTCAGTGGCAGAGGGTGAGTCCTTGGGGCAACCCCCACTGTAGCCCAGCATGGGTTTCTTTCAAAGGGCTGGTCAGGACTGACAAGTAGAGATCTGCTCATGCAGAGCACAATGTGCTAACCTCCAGACTACATGTTGCTTTCCCAGTGTCATGTCCTGGTGCTGTGTTTGACCCAAGAGGTTCTCATCTTCCATACACCATTCGAAATCCCAGCACTAAAACCTCAGGTTGAGAAGAGGGTGACACTTACTACCACAGATAAGCTCCAGGGAGGTTTGGTTTGCTTGTTTTATTAATCTCTGTATGACAGCTGCACAGCCAACAGGACCTTCTAAGAAGCACTAAATGTACAGCTAACTTACATACCACATTCTGCTCTTGAGATGCTCCAGAGCATTCTACACAAATCCAGTAGCAAAATCCCCAGTGGATCTCATGAAATCTGTGATGCTTCTCTCTTGCTCATGTCATGAGACCCAAAGAAACACATCTGTACTCCCAAAGAAGGCTAGTAGTCTAAGAAATCAGACGGAGAAAGAGGAAGGCTAGCTTTAGCCAAAGACACTACCACAGCAAGCACAGTAAAGCCTTGGTGGAAGAAGGGCTGTGTGCAGGATGTCATAGCAATACTGTAGAAAACACAGTAAAGACACAGGAGCTGCTTTTTACAGTAAAATTAGGTTCAATAACTAACTGCATTAAGAAATAACAGCAACAGCACCCCCAGAGACCAGACAAATACCGCTACATACATAGGATTGGAATTATGCTGGACTGGACTGCCGGACAAAGATTGTGGCACCACTTGTGAACTGGCAAAAAAAACCCTCAGAGCAACTGTGAGGGAAGCATAATGATGACAGGTATCAATTAAATGCATTGGATTACACAAATGCCATGTCAGGACTTGATGCTGAGACCAAACGCTTAGACACCATCAGCACGCACCTCTCAGAGTGGTGAGCTGGGAAACAGAGCAAGCAAAGCAGGTACTGACTGCCCTGAGCTGTTCCCAGGCATTCAGCTCACCACAGCTTTGCTGCTGCAATGAACACACACAGAGCTGAAACCTATCACGACCAACAACAAAAAGGCACTGTGGTATAATAATTTCAAAATGGGAAACTACAGGAAACGGAGGAAGTTTGTCACAGAGAAATTAAAAGAGATGGCTAAAAGAATAAAATATTTGTAAGCAGTAGGGGAGGTATTTTTAGGATCTCTCAGTGGAGGCTGGAAACAATTGCACATCATATATCAAGAATATTGTTGGAAAGACAAAGAAAGCCAGTGCTAAAACAGAAGGGGAAGGGACTTCACTTCAAAACAAGAACACATCCTTTGAATATTGGAAGCTTTGTCTAAATACAGAAAGTAGAGCAGATCAGTAAATTAAAAAAGATTAATTTATTTTGATCTTGAGTCATTTGCAGGCTCACCAGTGTCAAGGCCAGTCTCTCATTTATAGCAATATATTTAGACCTGCGGTTTTGGCTAGAAGTTTCTAAGGTAATGAGGGAGAGCATGAGGGAGCTTTATTGCAAGTGTCATCCTTCTGGTATAAAGATATTTTCTAAGGTAAAGGTTTTGTCATGTTTCCTGAAGCTTGTAGTATCTTCTAGCTGTCCCAATCATACTTAAAAAAATAGCAACATTTATTATTTTTGAAACTTTTCAGTTTCAAAATGCAGAAAGACTTTTCAGTTACAACCTACACCTCAGCTTCACACAATGAGGCAATAGCAGAACCGACAGACTCAGACTGGGTCTGGAACTTGAACTTGACTCTGCCTGCTCTCTATTCCTCTTGTAAGGTCACATTTGTGTCTCTGGTGATTTGGGCTTTGTTATCAAATTAAGCCTCAAGAGAAAGGAGTCAGCCTGAGGTTGAGGGGTAGGGTAGAGCTTCTTCTCTGCAGATTAGAATTGAAAACTAAGCAAAAAGGGATAAATATCTGTTGAAACATAACTTTTGATTCTGAGGTCACATTTCTGAGGATTTGCACTTCTGTTTTCCTTCTTCTCTTGCCTATCCAAAGAAGCTATCTCCTCCATTCTTCAGATCACTGCTCCTGATTTTAGGAAAAACTACTACCAGGCCAAGGTGACTGGGATGAGAGTCAGTGAAACAGTTAATCCTTAAATATCAGCACCAGGCACCCAAGCTGGTGCCTCCTGGCAATCATGGAGCAGTTCATTCTCTATTGTTTCAAACCAACTGCAGAAAAAAAGGGAATTACTTGATTCATCATAAAAGCAAAATCCCAGGACACTTCTACAACCAGAGAAGTGGGAGAGTCACTGCAGTTCTTAAAAATGAAAAAGCATGCCATTAGAAAATTTTGGAAGGGGAAAAAAAAAAAGCAAGCAAAGTGGAAAAATAATATTGCAGTGTTTGAGGTGAATTTAAGCCTCACTTGAACTACAGAGATCACTCTAGGAAAGTGGAAAAAATATTTCATAAATTGGGACTTTTACTCCCTACAAAAGGGAATTCCTACAGTTCACCCGTTTTGAAATTAGTTCAAGGGATTGTGTTTGATCCTCATCCCCCAGACTACATGTGAAGCTCTTGTAGAAGTGCATGAGAGAAGTACCTAGGATGAGTTGGTAACAGAGGAGGAAAATCTGAATGGAGCATCCAGAAATATTTCCATGTAGTTGTCTGAGGAACTGTGGAAGAGTCTACCCAAGGGAAGGGAAAAGTGGACATTTAATGTAAATATCCTATATTATAACCTTCTAGTGCACAAAACACTCCATTAGGTCTCTCAGACTCAGGTCTTCTAGGACAGTCTGAAGAATGTCAGAGTACCATCCCTGACAGTTCCCCTTAGCTCCTGCCTACCTCAATATGGGAGCAGCATGACTATCTAGGGCAAGGGTGAAAAATTTGAGAGGTAAGGCAGGGAGAAAATTGTGATCACTGAGGCTGAAGAAAACAGCACAAACAGCACAGCTGTGGACTGAAAAAAAATGGCCAGATGTCTCTAAACTTTACAGCAGCCCAGATACACAGCCCTGTTTGGGCAATCTCCAGTATGCGGAACAGCAAACATGAGGATTTCTGCTGCACTCCATCAGCGTTTGGGAGCTGGTAGATGGCTGCCAGACTAAAGGCACAATGAAAGAGGAGAAGGGGATTGGGAGAATGCAAAGTCAGAGAGGCAAAAAGTGAGAAACAGGAATGAGATGCATATAGAGATAAAATCAAAGAGTGTGAACGAAAAAAAGAGGTGAGGAAAAAAAGGAAAAGGGGAATACAAATGGTGGCAAAGTTAAGTAATATTTGTTAAAAACGGGCAGAGAAATACAACTAGAGGGTAAATTGTAAAATTGAGGGAGGTGCTTGACAGGTGAAGGATCCTGTTCTTGGCTATGGCACAGACCTGGTTATCTCTGTTACTACAAGCATACCACATAGACTAACACTGTCTTTCTTAAGTGACTGCTGGACTGACATTTTGGTAGTGCAACATATCTAAGACTCTCTGGAAACCAAACAGAAGGTAAAACCAGGGCAACTCTTCATTTTGGAGAAGACCACAAGAGCCAAAACCAGTTAGTTTGACCAGAGGACTTATCTATACATTTCTGATACTGCACCACAGGGGTGACATTACAGCAAGAATGTGCATTTGAATGGAGAAGAAATACCTGAGAGCACATCTCTCAAAATTGATGGATGCAGGGACAGAACTGCAAATAAAGATCTTCTAAAGAAAGGTACTCAAACTGAGCTCCTCAGGGACCCTTTGCATGCTGAAGAGAGATGAAAAAGAATCAAATGATATGTACAGAAAGTGTGTCCAAAGATCAGCTTCCTTATTTTAGGGTCTCTGACTTTAGCTCAAAGATGAGGGTACATAAAGGAATGTGGAGAGGAGGAATATTAAAAAGAATACTGCAAAAATCTCAAGATGGCATTGGGTAATCTCAACCTCCAACAGGATGGGAGTGAACACAAATGGCAAAGAATGAAGGGATGTCACTGTGTTTTCTGATGCAACAGAAGACATAATTTCTGATGAAAACACATGCAGTAGCAAGACTGCCTTCCACGCAGATGGAGTGTGAGTACCAGATAGGAACTTGGGGGTTTCTGTGCCGGCTTTGCTTCCATAGTGCATCAAGTGACCAGGCAGCAGTAACCACTACAAGTATATGCAATTATTCTGATCATAGAAATCTTGTATTCAGCAGTAAGAGACACCTTTCCTGTAACAGCTCTGAAAAAAGGTCAACCATTAGTGTTTCAGCCAATGCAACACAACTCATCTAAAGCACACAGACATTTCACAGAGTCATAGAATCATAGAATGGTTTGGGTTGGAAAGGACTTTAAGATCATCTAGTTCCAACCCCTCCACAACTTTGCATGAGGGAGACACAAAGAATGATTACCAATGCAAAATCTCACTCTTGTGAGGTGGTATTTCTCAACCAAGCAGCCAGAGAAATTGCTCGGTGTGACATTTACAAGGCCTGATCATGGGGAATGGAGAGGAAATAAGGAAAGAGAAAATTTAAGAAAAGCACCAAGTAAATCTTCCTGATAGTAAAACACCCTGCAGAACTGTCTCAGGGCAAAAGCTGAAAATTTGCTCTCTGGGAGGTATGTAAAACTAGAACACAGAAAAACTGAAAAAATGTATCACAAAAGAATCCTGCATCCAACGGGAGAGAAGCTGGATGATCTCATGTGTCTTCTCTGTCTCTGATCTCTGACTAGCATATGCCTTTAATTTATCTGTATTCACACCTTGCCTGCCCTTCAAATAACTATTACTGACAATCTCTTATTGCTGACAAGCAGACAACTTTCCAGCTGTAGTGGAGAAAAGGATACCTGGGTTGAATGCCCAGGAGTAGACACTGAAAGGGGTCTGATGGAGAGAGGGAAGGGAACAATGCTGGGTCTCTAATCTTTTACCACATTAAAGTATTTGCAGCAACTTTAGAACCAAAGCAACAGCACTGTAAGCTGGCACTCAGAATCAGTGGCCAGATCAGAGTGTTTTTGTTAGATCTTGCTTTCATTCAAAATAAAATCTTTTGTTGACCCACCTCATCCAGCTTCCTTACCTCTTTCTTCCCGTGCAGCCTTAGCCCTCAGTGGAGGAGTCATAGATAATTTGACAGAATCACATTCTATTTCCTCACTCTCTTCAGCAGCAGCAGCAGTTTCTGATTCATTTCCCTCCATGCCAAAGCAAAGAGTGCACACAATGAGATGTTGTGATCAGGCTGTTGAATGACAGGGTTTAACGCCTGTGAAACAGGAAACCTGGGGTTATATTCAGAAGACAAGAAATGTGAAGTTACAACCTCAATCTCCAGTTACTCAAGATAACCAAATATACAACAAAATGGAGAGCAGTGGAACTCTCTCTCTACAGCTACCTGGAAGGGGGTTGTAGAGGTGAGAGATGGTCTCTTCTGCCAAGCCCACAGTGAGAGGGCTAGAGGGAATGGCTATAAGTTGAGGCAGGGGAGATTCAGGGTAGATATTAGAAAATATTTTTCCCTGTTAGGGTGGTCAGGCACTGAAATAGGTTCCCCAGGGAGGTGGCGGAGTCACCATCCCTGGAAAGTGTTTAAAAGGCATCTGGATGTGGTGCTGGAAGACATGATTTAGGGTTTCAGGGTTACAGTAGAGTGACAGGTTAACGGTTGGATTTGATGATCTAAAAGGTCTCTTCCAGCCTTGATGATTCTATGATTCTATGAAATGCAGTAGCTTCCATATCCTCACCTGATGAAGGATGTTGTAAGAATAGCTGCTGGTGGAAGAGGTGACTAATCACAAAGTTGATGGGTACTCTAATTGTTGCCAATGCAAGAGGCTGCGGTTGCACTGACTCAGTAATTGGGAGGATTTGTGTTGCTCTGAGAAGTGGCTCCCTCTTAGGGCAGAAGCAGGTGGATAGTGAGACCACAAGGTTAAGAAGTTTAATAGTAAGAGTACAAGGTGAAAAGTGGGATAAGCAATGGTTATGGTAATGTGGCAGCCCAACTGCTGTCAAAAGGGAAGTAGAGATGGACAGCATGGGTTTGAGAGAAAGCCTTGTGAAGTTTGGAGACTTCTACTGGGAATTCTATCTACACCTAGTGTGAATGTGCTTGAGACACAACTGAGAGCTGGCATCCCTTAAGACCCTCTCAGTGAACATCTCAACAGCATCAGTACAAGAGAGACATGGAAATACTGAAGAGACTCTACCAAAGGGCCACAAACATGATGAAGGGACTGGAGCATCTCTCTTATGAAGAAAGGCTGAGAGATCTGGGACTGTTTGGCCTGGAGGAGACATCCTGGGGAGGATCTATCCAATTAATGTATATAAGTACCTGAAGGAAAGGTACAAGGTTAAACTCTTTTCAGTGGTGCCCAGTGACAGGACAAGAGGCCATGGGCACAACCTGAAAGACAGATGTCCCCTCTGAGCATCAGAAACCACTTTTTTACTGTGAGGGTGATTTAACACTGACAGAAGTTGGCCAGAGAGGTTGTGGTGCTCCTTCTGTGGAGAGTCATCTGGACACTGTCTGGGGCAACTGGTTGTAGATGGCCTGGTTTGAGGAGGGGGCAGAAGCAGATGAGCCTGAGAGGTCCCTTCCCAACTCAATCATTTTGTGACTCTGTGGTCAGCAATAACAGTAAAGGATACTTTTTTTTTTTAATGAAGCACTGAAGATTGACCATTGATGAGAATAGTTCCATGCACTGGGGGAGGTTTAGATAGGATATAGGGAAAAATTTCTTCACCAGAAGGGTTATCAGGCACCGGGACAGGCTGTACAGGGAAGTGGTTGAGTCACCAGCCCTAAACGTATTTTAAAAACTTGCAGATGTGGTGCATAGCGACATAATTTAGGGGTGGGCTTGGCAGTGCTGGGTTAACAGTTGGACTTGATGATCTTAGAGGGCTTTTCCAACCTAAACAATTCTGTGATTCTGTGGTGGGGAGAAACGTCTTAGTTACATAGTTAGCTGATTTTTTATTTAATCCGTATTCTGATCCTTTCCCTTTTGTGCTCAGAATGGGGATTTTTTTCAGGCTCGGGGTGTACATCTTCAACACAGTACAGTACACTCAATTTAAAAGAATTGTTTGGGCATTCTCAGCAAAGGACTTCAGACTACTGTTACCCCCAAAAGGCACAATTGTTACCCCTTCTGGTGACATGCTTTAAATTTGAGAAAAGATTGCATGGGAGGAAGCTTAATTTGATTCAGAGTGTGGTGGCCAATTTGTTACAATGTACATGTCTGGGAATGTATGGATTCAATATTTCTGCCAATTTCTCCATCAAACACTTGCTTCTGAGGGTGGAATACTGCACCCACAAGATTCCTTCCAATCCTGGGTAGGGCCTGTAGACAGCAAGACAGAGAGTCTGTGCTTGAAAGAAAGGGGAAGGCAGAAGGCTGCAAAGGAAGACAAGAGGAGAAAAGTCTCTCTTGAATGCTTTGAATGAACAACAGAAAAGTCTAAAGAGCCCTCAAACCCAGAGAAGGAGAATTTGCTATACTCAGAGAGTTTAGCTGGGAATATAATCTGTGTGTCTGAAAAGAAACCAACAAGATTCAGACACAGCTTAAGTACCCAGGCCAAGGGGCAAAAGTACTGCAGGCTGCCTGCAGGGCCAGAGTGATCATAAAGACAGCATTATTTGTGAAGAACTGGAGAAGCGAAGGCTGGTGGAAAAGAATCAAGAGCTCTGTTTTCATGTGATTTACCATTTTTTTCTCAAGTATCAGCAATAAGTTGAGTTCTTAGTTTGAATAGGAAGTAGAGAGGGGGAGGTATGCAGGCAACACACCATCAGTAGATCTGACTTATGGCAGCTGTGCCATACTCCCAGTATAGCATTGCAGCAGGATGAAAGCAGTTTTCCAGGAGCCAATATTGCTCTTTCCCCAGTTCTTCACAACTGAAGCAGCATACTGTGAGAAAACCTCCCAGATTTCTCTCCAAGTGGCTTCTCTAGCACATTGGTAAATTTACTAAATCTGGTATTTATTTCTTAACTAAAAGATGCAAAAGCCTTGAACTCTGGCAAAGAACACCTGTCCTTTTGGATAACACACACCTGGACTCTCTTACCATCACAGTGGGAGCATAACTTAAGGAGAGAAATGCACATTGGATAGGCCACTCTCGAATCATTTATACCTTTACTAATCACACCCGACACTGTGCACTACAAACTGGAATTCCTCTAGAGGGGCAAAACTTGCAGGAGCTTGGGAAGACACCTTTATTCCAAAGTATAACAAAACAGTACATTGGGTGAGGATGAAACCAGAAGGATTAATGCCACGAAGCAGCTTTGTGAACAATAGCTTCCCTTGCTCGTTTAACAGAAGTCACTCTAGAGGCACCTGCTGGGGATGGCAAAGCCCAAGGACTCTGACGGACTTGTACCGCCTTCTGCAGCGGGAGCGATGGGAGCAGAGACGCCGGGAAGCTTTTCGCTTTGCTGATAGCGTCACCCGCCTGCAGGTGTTCCGAATTTGTACGCGGGACAGAGGGGAAAGCGCGACTTCAAGGCGGGAACAGTCACAAAGCACTTGGATAAGGTGATGCCCAGCCGGGAGCGCGACGGGGGGGGTAGAGCGGGGGGACGGGATGGTGCGGGCCGTGTTTCCCGGCCAGCGGGCGCTGTACAGCGGCTCTCAGGTAAGAGGGCTCATCCTTTCCTCTGGCGCCCGCCGCTCATTGGGACGAAAGGAGGGGAGGGCGGACCGTGT